TCAGCCTCTGGCTGCTGTACATCCTCTTCGCCACTCTGGAAGCCTACTGCTACATCAAGGGGTTCTAGGCGGCGGAGGGACGGTGCCACCGGGGGGAGGGCCCCCCCTCCTCCGTTACCTCACCGGACACCGGTCCTGGAACCGCGGTCCCACCAGAGGGGACGGCTCCGTCAAGCCGCCGCCGCCCAGGCCGTCGGACAGCTGGGCACCAAGAAGGGCAAAACCATCACAGAGCGAAAAAAAGACAAAAAAAAAACCACAAACACCCAAAAAGATACAAAAGAAAAGAGAGCAACAATGGCAAGTGTTGAATTAAAACCACAACAAACCCAGCCACTGACCCCATCCAGTGAGACCATGACGTTTCAGCCATCTCCAAAGGCCACCTCTCCCACGGGGACTTGTGTCCTTTTCCTCCCAAGCACTCCTCCACTGCAAGGAGATGTGTTCTCGGTTTTACCAGTTGGGAGTTGCAAAAGTCTGATCAGGAAATTGTGTTGTTTTTTTTTATTATTTTTCTTTTTTTTTCATTTGCTTGTTGCTTTTTGGTTTTGGGGGAGCACACCGCTTGATTATTTTTCTTTCTTCTTTTTTTTTTTTCTACTTAAAAATGTTAAAAATTTAAACTCTAAAGCTTCAAGCTGCCGTCAGTGCTGGACTTGACCATGTGTATTTTCTGAAGCCACAAAGGACTGTGACACAGTCAAAGAACTTTTTCACTATGACCCGTTCCCTCCCCTGCCACCTTCCATGTCTTTCTTTTTTAAGAACATCACAAGACTGATATATTTTTAATACAAACACAGACACACAGATACAGACACACACGTTTAGTAATAAAGGCTGGAGCATGTAGCATCTCAATCACCTGCCTTGGCTAAGAAAAAAGGAGGAAAAACCCCAACCCCCTATTATAATACCTACCATGTATATTTTGACTATGGCATTTCTCTTTGTATCATTGACTTGGAGCTTGTGGTACTGCAGGGAGAGAAAATGATGTTCATTTACATAAAGAAATAAATGGCAACCCAGGAATAACTTGTCCTGGGGGGAGTGAAGGGGCCACAGAAAGTGGCACCAGCTCCATGGGGTGGTGGTGGTGGGTTTACTGCGTGGTCCTCCTGCTGAGAGGTGGAGATGAACTGAGGAAAACCTGGATAGCCTGCCCGTGTGTCCCCAGTGCTGTCCCACCCTGAGCTGTGGGGTGGCTGCCCGCTCACTCCTTGGCTACCCTGGTTTTCACGGGGTCCACCTCTTGCTGGTGGTCTTCAGGCCATTGAAAGTTTCAGGCTTAAAAACTGCCACCCATATCAAGACTCCTGTGTTAGTTATCTCAAGTACTTTTAGGACCACCAGACAGACAAAAAGACATCCTTTTCATTTGAAGTGCATTTCTTTTTAAGGAAAACAAAAACAAAAAAAACAAACCCAAACCACCATGAGAGTATGTCATGAATTACATCAATGGCTGCAAATTAAAATGTTGGGTTGGTAATAAAAATAAATAAAAAAAATATATCTATATCTATATAAACTCCGCTATCTAGAAACATATTTCTTCATGGAGGGCCCTGGAAAAGGACGTTAAGTCTTACTCTTTCTAAAGTGTTTTCTGGGTGGAGATAATTTCTTCTGCCAAGAGACAGAAGAAGTAAAGGGAAACATTTTCTTCACAAAGTTCCCAATAATGAGCCAAACCCTGCGACACGACGAGGAAGAGAGGGGCTGCCAAAAGGTACATCTCTGCCTGCTGCAGTGTCTTCTGCTGCCCCAGGAGACAGGGAGGAGGTGTTTCATGGTTGGGAAATAAAGCAACAGGAGCAGGGTTGTCGTGGGCAAAAACAGATGTGACGGGCACAGTGTCCAGCGACAGGACATGGGGAGATGGTTTCAAGCTGCAGGAGAGTAGCTTTACACTGGATCTTGGGAAGAAGTTCTTCAGTATGAGGGTGGGGAGACTCTGGAAGGGATTGCCCAGAGGGGTTGTGGGTGCCCCCTCCCTGGAGGTGGTCAAGACCAGGTTGGATGAGGCCTTGAGCAACCTGGTCTAGTTGAGAGGTGTCAGGGAGGTTGGATTAGATGATCTCTATGGTCCCTTCCAACCTAAGCCACTCTGTGATTCTAGAAGGTGACTATGAGAGTGACAATGGTCCTTACCTCACAGATGAAGTATCTATTTTCATACAAAATGTTTATCAAGTATCTATAGCTCTATGTGTATATGTGCAAGGCAGAGAAGAAAGATCCTTCTCAGAGGGGCCACAGGAGCTTTTGTGGTGGAGGCCCACCATGGATAAAAGCTGTTGGGTTTGAAGCCAACAAGATTCTGACCTGCCTCCATACCCCCCAGTTGTCCTGCCTTTGGAGAAGGACCTGAAATAGATGGGCAAGAAGCTCCAAGGCCAGGCTTCTACAGAGCTTGCTGGTCTTTCTGGCCTCCAGGTACACCAACAGCCACCAAGAGCAGCTGCTGTTGCCACCAGCTGGGGACCCTGGGGCTCACACATGTGATACTGAGAAAAAAAAAGTTAAAAAAGCCCCCAAATGCTGTCTGGGGGGGGATGGTATTTAAAGTGCAGGTCTTGATGGGAGAGTGTTACCACTGCTGGCTTGAATTTGGACATGCAAAGTCTGTTGAGGTCTGATTTTACCTTCACCCCAGGGTAAAGCCCAGCTGGGAGCTGCCCTGCTGGTCTTCTGTTGCTCGTGCTGTGGCCACCATGTGCTTTTCATCCCATTCCTTCTGCAGGTGACCGTGGGGAGGGGCTGCAGGGGCAGGACTGGCTGCCATGAGTGCCAGCTCCATGGGGACCTCGGTGCCCTCCACTCACGAGGGCGAGCTCTGCCAGGCCCCCAACATCCACAGAGTGTTTCTTTCTTTTCTCATTTTTACTTCATTAAAAAATATGCAAGCTAAAAAAAAACCCAAACAACCAAAACAGCAGGTTTAGTGCCTTTGGGGGTTTTAATTTTTTTTTGGCTGAGGCTTTTATGTTTCATTCTGGGTCTAGTCATCTGCTCGCTCCTGTTTTCCTTTGAGCAGGTGCCTGGAGGTGGGTGCACGGGCTCTGACTGGTTTGCCCCCCGTCCCATCCCAGGCCTCCAGTGCAGGACTGCTGGGAGGACCCCACAGCACTCATCCACGGGTGGGTGGTGGTTTTGCTGCTGTTTCTGTTGCTGCTCTTTCCCCTTTGTTTCTCCCATCAGCTTTCCATGGCCACCTGCAACAACAGCCGCTGGCCTCTCCCAGCAGCCCTCATGCTTTGGGCACCACACTCTTACCCTTCTGCCTCCCAGTTGTCATGGCTCCTCAGCAAGGGCCCATCACTGCTGAGGATGAGGATAAACGACACCAGGGGGGAAAAGCCAAGGTGACCAGAGGAGGAGCTGCTTTGTCCCTGGGGCCTGCCGTGGCCTGGGCATACTGTCTAAGGGTGGGACCAGCACTGGAGGGCTGACTTCCCAGCACTGCTGCCCCTGCAGCACACAAGCTCCAGCTGCAGGAGAGGATGTGCTGCCTCTGGCTTCAGTGGAGGTGCTGGGGAGGGGTGTTTGAGGGAGGTCCAACCACCAGGCACCAGGAATCGGCTGCGGTACGGTGAGCATGAAGTGTTCCTTAGAGCCACTGAGCAAAGGCTTTCAGCTAGGAAGGAGGCAACTGCAGCTCCTGGATGGGGCTTTGTCACCTTTTTGGCAGTTACTTTGGCATTGGTGTGATCAAGGCTCTTCGGGACAAGCACAGATTAAACACAAACTATGCTCTGATGATTATTTCCTCTGATACCATGTGTGGGGCTGCTGGACTGGTTTGTAAGTCACTCGATCCTAATATAGGAGGGCACCACCATTACACTCCATCCCAAAATTTCAACATTACATCACCTCACAATCTACAAGGACAAGCCCCCAGTCAGATGCATGTGCCACTTCAGGATCCAGCTGCCCTGGCCCACATTGCTCCCAGCCTGGGAGGGATTAAGGACCTCCTAGTGTTTAATTGAGCTATTTAAAATATGAAGATAATTAAGACCATGAGTAGATTTAACCACCCCTCACCAATCCTCCCTTTGCCCTGTGGTGGGGTTGCTCATGCTTGTTCCTGCTGCCAGCAGCAGACAACCTCAGTGGCCTCTCCTCACTGCACTGGGAAACCCAACCCTTCCCCACACTTGGCCTCCAATGGTAATTCAAGCTTAGTCATGGAGTCTACAGGCATGATGCAAGGTTGGTGAGCTCATCAGATGTTCCTACTGCACCTAAACATGGGCATTCACCAATGTCCCAGTCAGTACTGCTGCTATTGCCACATAGGCAGCAAGCTGAGTAGCTGTGGCTAAAGGAAAATTTGTGATCCACCCACTACTCACTGCTGGGTGCACACTCACAAATTGGCCCAGTTTGGAGAATGCAATCAAAAAATAACAAAGGTCTAGGAAGTATGTTGAAACTGATGTGAAATCGAGGTGAATGAAAGAAATAAACCCTCCAAACAAAGACTTTTTTTTGGGTGTGAAATGACAAATACGTCCCCAGGAGGCCGTCTCTAAGAAGATAAGCTTGCATTGCAGAAACTCTGATCCCATTTCGTGAGATTTATTTCTGTACAACTTGGGTGCATGGAAAAGATGGAGGGAAAAGGAAAAAAAAAATAATCTCAACATAAAAGCATCAACAGTGCTCTCAGAAAGTCCCCGTGGCTCATCCTAGGCACTAAGGCATGCTGCACAGAGAACCCTCGTGCCTCTATCAACCCCGTGGTTGCCCAATAAGCTCTTAGAAAAAAAAAAAAAGAAAAAAAAAAAAAAACACTGTCAAAAGGAAGCTGATTGACTCCTCTTCTTCAGGAGCATCTTGTGTAGAAACCAACAGCAAACCCAAAAATAGATGTTGAGTTTATAGCCCTCCTTGTTTTTTTTCCTTTTTTTTTCCACAAAGAAAACAACCAATTACTACACTTGTTGTAAGAGCACTTTGTATGTGGTAAAGCCCTCCAGGTTCTCCACTTTCTCCTCTTCCAGCTTCCGAGAAGTCATTGCTGCTGGATTGCTGCCTGCTGAGCCTCACT